GAGGGTGACGCCGCCAGGGGGCGGGCCCTGGGCGCGGCGGCCCGACTGTCTCGGCGGCGGCGGCGGCGGAGAGAGCGAGGAGCTGCGCCACCATGGGGGCCCAGCTGAGCACGGTAGGCGGGGAGGGGGCGCGGGGGGCAGGGACGGGGCCGCGGGGTCGGGAGCTAGGGGCCCCCCCATCCGCCCCGCGCGTGCCCGGTGGGCGCCCGTGACTCACGCCCCGGCCCTCCATGGCCGGGACCCAGCCCTCCTCCCGAGGGGCGTGCGGGCGGCGGGCACCCGGCTGACGGGCACTGGGGCGCCCCGCCGCCGCCCGCATCCCTCCGGGTCCCGCCCCGTGGAGGGCGGAGCGGGCTGCGCGTGAGCCCTGCGAGCGAGGGTGGGAGAGAGGGTGTGGCTGGGAAAGTTGGCGTGTGCCCGAGTGTGCGAGTGTGCACGAGAGTGCGTGTGAGAATGCTGGTGCACGCGAGTCGGTGAGTGCACGTGTGTGGCCGAGTGTGAACATGACACGGCGGGGTGTGCTGTGAACTGTGAGCGTGCACGAGAGTGCGCGAGCGCCCGCGGGTGTGTGTGTGTGCAGATGTGTGGCTCAGTGTGAGCATACGGAGTGGGTGTGGTGTGAGGTGCGAGTACAGGAGAGTATGAGTGAGTGAGAGGGTGTGTGGCCGAGTGCACGTGTGTGAGAGTTTCTGCGAGCGCGTGAATGTGGGAGGGGGCGCGTGCGGGCGATGCGGCTGCATGGCAGGGTTCGTGGCTTCTCCGGGCACCGGTGACCACGCTGCACCCCTGCCTGCTGCTGCGGCGCTGCAAGACTTGTGAGGCCCTCGCGAGGAACCCGGTTTCACAGATGAAGAAACTCGACTCACAGTTGGCCGCCTTCCCATGCTGGGGGTGGTGGTGCTGAACTTGTGGGGCTCCAAAGTCCACCATCATGCTGTCACTTTTGGGACTCCCGGTGCCTCCCTCCCCCACCTCCCCCGCCCGCCTCCTCTCTGGGATTTCTCAAAAGCCACAGTGGAGGGCCTGGGGACGGGTGCTCCAGCCTCCCTCCTGCCCCCCACCCCCGGACGTGCTCTGGTCCCGGGAGCTGGCTGGGCACGGGGAGCAGTGGCAGGGCGGGCATCAAGAGGATTAGGCCCAGAGCCACTTGCGTCCGCAGCCACCTCCACCCCAGGCGCCTGCCTCTTCCCTCTGGCTCTGTGGGGCTCCTGCTCAGGATGAGGCAAATGGTTCTCTTGGCCTCCGTGTGTTTGTTCCTGCAGTTGTGGCCCAGCCCAGGACTCTGGGGGACATCCAGACCTAGGAGCAGCCTTGCCCAGGGCAAACCTGTGGGCATTACTGAGGGTAACGTCCTGATCCTCCTCCTCCTGATCCTCCTCCTTCGTTACTCAACCCCGCCCCCGGACCCCCACCCCTGCTGTTTTCCCACAGTGCTTCTCACTTTCTAGCTGGTGCTGGTTGGATTTGTCACTGTGCCCCCAGCATGTGGCCGCTCCATACATTTTGCCAAGGCCCCCTTGCAACCCCCTTGTGAGTTAGGAGACTCACCAGCTCCACGGCCCCCTCTGTCCGAGAGGTGGGCAGGGATTGACCTGCTGGGGTCCCCACGTAGCCCAAAATGCCCACAGCAGACCCTAGCCGGGCCTCCTGGCACACCAGCTCCACAGGGTCTGCGGGAGGCCGGCTCAGGCTCTGGGCACCAGACTCTTATCTGGGGTGTACAGGCTCTGCAGGAGGCCTCCTCCTATACTCCAGGGGGCCCCAGCTCAGGGACTGGCACTTGGGGGAACATCGGGGGTTTGGCCTGCCAGCCGGGACCGTGGCTCCCCTGCCCCCGGCACATCCGTGAGTGCTCAGTGGGCCCCGATAGACCGCCACGACAGGTAGTCCCAGGCTCCCTCGCTGCCCCCGCAGCTCTGTGGCTCTTCCGTGGCCCTTGCCCCTAGCTCCAGGGGAGCCGGACTGTGTCTCCTCCACGGAAAGTGGCTCTGCTGTCCACCTGCCCCTCCTCCTGGGTGCACTTCCCCCACGGTTCCGAGCCAGGAGCCCCCCGCTGCAGAACTTCCTCCACTCCCTCCCACTTCCTGAGAAGGGGACCCAGAGGGAGGTGGACACTCAGATCCCAGCGGGGCGGCTGGCGGGCGGCAGGCAGGTAAGCCTCAGCACCCGGAGCCGGCCCCCCGGGAGGGCTAGGCCTGTGCTCAGACCCCACCTGGGTACAGTGGGTGCCCGGGTCCCAGTAGGGAACTCCACGGAGTGGGGCAGCTGGGCAGGGTGCCGTGTGGGGGGCAGCAAGGCTGCCCATCCCCTCAGCAATGGTGGGTGAGTGGGGGCGCCCCGGAGACACCCTGGGACTCTGGCTGCCCCTTTCCCTCTCTCTTTCTGTGTCAGCAGAGGTGAGGAAAAGCAGGTGGTGGGTTCCCCGGTGGGCCGAGCACAGCCTGTGGGGCACCAGGTCAAGGCCTGGGGGGCAGCTGTCCCCTAGACCCCCCCGAGGGGCTGTGGTGACTGTGTGTGTGTGCGTGTGTGCGCGCATGTGTGCATACACATGTGTACGTGTGTGTGTCTGAGCAGCAAGGCTGAGGAGGAGCTGGGGTGGGGCCTTGGCTTCCACCATCTGCCTCCTGTTTACTCTGTCCACGACTTGCAGGGGTGGGGGTGGTACCGTGGACTAGGAGGGGCTGCAGAGTTCATTCTGCCCCCAGGTTGTAGGAACAGGGCATCCCTACCCCTTGTGAATCTGGTAAAGCCTCTACCTTTAACTTTCCATGGCTCCCCTTCCCCGGACTGTGTCTGTCTTCCCCACCGGCTTGAGCTCCTCAGGGGCAGGGTCCCCTGGCTGGTGTTCCCCGAATCCCCCGTGAGTCCCGATAGGTGTGCTCACTGGGGTTTATGGCCTGAAGGCCTGACTGACAGCGAGGGTCTGCCCACAGCTGCCTCCCCAGGTAGGAGTTCGTACATATGCAGAGTCCACAGGCGCAGAGAGGCAGGGCGGTACGGTGACTCAGTGCGTGGACTCGGTCACGTGCCTGGGTTCACATCCTGGCCCTCGGGCCAGGTCTTTCACCCAGGCCTCTGTTTCCTCGCCCGAAATGGGGGTGGTATCAGCTCCCGTCTCCTAGGCTTGAGGATTATGTGAGATAAAGGAGCAAAGCAGCTGTACCTTGCTCTGCATAGCCCAGTTTTGGGGACCGGAGGCTGGAAGGAAGGCTGCTGCTGACATTTATCAGCTGCCCACACGGGCGACTCCTTCCGGCCATGGCTCTGATCCCAGCATCCCTCCACGCGGTAGGCGTGCCTCACAGATGTGGAGCCGCCAGGAAGCCAGGATCGAAGCTAGGATCGTAGCCACCCTGGCCTGTGCTCTGTGGAGGACTGTGGGTCTTCAAAGGGACAAGATGAGCTGGTGCCCCGCCCTCACCCGGGAGGGATCTGGCCTCTTGCCCTGACTCCTGAAACTTCCAGGCAAAATAAAAAGAGTCAGACAGAGACCTGGGGGGGGGGGGGGGGGGGCTTGTTGCTGTCCCTTCACGAATTTATCCACACATGTTTACTGAGTGTCCCTGCTCTGAGCTCTGGGGATGCAATGGTGATGAGACCACAGATTCCCCCACCCCCCCCACCCCTGCCCCTTCTGGGGCTTCTGATCTAGGATCTGCTGTTTCACGGCGACTGTGACCACACGTAGGCTCTGGCCCAGCCGTTTGAGCCACGGCTGGCGTCCCGGGTACGCGAGGCTGGTACTTAGAAGCTGGAAGGTCTGGGCTAGGGCTGCGGCCTCCACCCAGGGCCTCCCTGAGCCTCGGTTTCCTCATTTGTTAAATGAAGAATGCAGTTGGCCTATTTCCTACCGCTGTGGGTCAGTGAGGAAATACAGGGGAAGGTTCTCTGCAGATTGTACAATGAGCTGCAGGCCAAGCGGCTGTGTTGGGGGAAATCAAAACTCCGGGGAGCACCAGACACAACCCCAGCTGGCTCCCACTGTCCTTCGAGTTCATCTCCAGGGCTCCCTACGATGCAAACCTAACTTCACTCCACTTTCTCCCCAACCAGTGTTCCCCATGGATATGGCTTCTCCGCTTGACATGGCAGGGCCCGTAGCAGAGGAATCTGCGGAATAGTCCTCAGTCCCAGGGGCGTTTAGAGAGGGGAGCAGGGGCTATGGGAGTCTGCTGAGGGCCTGATGAGCTAGGGAGGGGCCAGCCAGGGAAGATTTGACATTTAGACTGGGGTCTGAACGATGAGTAGGAGTTTCCTGGCTGGATGAGGGAAGAGGAAGGGCATCTGGGGCAGAAAGAAGAGTGTGCAAAGGCCTGAGGAAAGGCTTGTGGCCAGCGTTACAGCCACATAGCAGGGGCCTTGAGTGGAGGCAGGCAGAGGGGAGCCATCGTGGGTGTTTGAGGAGGGGACGGTGGCCTGTTGGTTTGCAAGTTGGGGCCTCATCACGAGAGGCAGGGTATGAGGCTGTGGGATTCGGGCCTTGGGCTCTGTGGCTGGGGCACAGAGAGGGCACCTGGCCTGGGAGGTGGCTCCGGAAGGGCTAGACGGGCCTGGGGTTGAGTCCTGGCTCCACCCTTGACTGCTGTAGGACCACGTGCAAGTCACTTAACGTCTCTGAGAAACAGGGACAGTAGTATCACTTGTGAGTGTGGCCCCCCAAGGATCGGCTGTGGTGCACCTGGGGCAAGACACTGACCTTCTCTGGGCCTCAGTTTCCTTATCTGTAACCTGGTGATAATCACAGCACCTACAGCCAAGGTGAAAACGAGGATTATCTCAGGGAGCTCACGTCCCACTCCTGGAGCTGTGCCAGCTTGGGAACGTTTGCTGCGTCTGCTCTGTGCACGGCCCTCTCACCTGTCTTCCTGTCCTCCCCAGCCCTGGAGGAGACTGTCCTCTTGCACTTGAGGGGGGTGGGGCCTGGAGAGGCCACGATTCTCTCCTGAGGTCCTGAGCTGGGGCTTTAACGAGGGCCTTTAACGAGACCCAGGATGGGTGGAACGCTGTGCGGTGCCTGGGACACGGTAGGTGCTGGTTAAATGTGCGGCTGCCAGAGACCCCTGCCGCGTGGTGGGTGGGGCTGGAGAGGGGAGCCTTGGCTGGCTCCCACAGCCCGTTCCTTCGGACCCATCGATCACAGACCAGGGGCTCTGTGGGGTGAGGCCTGGACCGCACTCAGCCTGGAGGCCCTGCCTGGGAGAGAGGCACCTTGTTCTAAGCCCGACAAAGCGCGCCTGTAACCACAGCCCACAGCCGCAACAGGGTAACTTGAAGCCGCCGGGCCGGTTTGGGGAGCAGGGGCCAGGCCTGGCGCGGGATCTTGGTGCTTCTGCCCTTCCTTCACTTGGGTATTCCGTCTCCCCAGTGGTAGAGGCCCACCGAGGGTGTCAAGAGAAGCTCCTGTGTGTGCGCCCACATCCCTCTGTGGCCTGGGTACCCTTATCTCATCTCATATCTTGACTCCCCCAGGAGGTGGGCCGAGCGGTAGCTCTTAACCTTCCTTCTACAGATGAGACACTGAGGCTCAGGTACTCGGCCAGAGCACCCTCCCTGGGTTGACACAAAGTGGGAATCCTGGCAAGGCTTCCAGGAAGCCAGGGAGCAGTAGGGTGGGCCTTGAGAGAGCGGGGTCCTCTCACCCAGCCCTGAGTAGGGCAAGGACCACCTCCAAGTCTATTCACTACCTCAGGAAGCCCACAAAGGAAGCAGAGAGGCCTCCGTGCCAGCAGAGAACTTTGCTCTGAGCTTCCTGGCAACCAAGGCAAAAAAGGGATCTAGTAGGATTATGATAAGAAGAACACATGGTCGTTTGGTGAGAGAACCGAAGTCAGGGAGGTGTACTGGTCATGGGTGCCGAACAAAAACCAAGACAGCTTTCTGGAGAAGCAGTGTTTTGTGCTCCCAGCCTCACTGTTTGAACCACTATTGTGGCCTTCTCCCCACCCCAGCCCTAGTTTTATTTTGAAGTTATTTCAAACTTACAGTGAAGTTGCAAGAATGCACGAAGAATTCTTGTAAACTTTTTGCCCAGATGGCCCAACTGTAAACGTTTATTGTATTTGCTTTGTTAGGTGTGTGTGCATATTTTTTTTTTTTTAATTATCTGAGAGTAAGTTACAGACACAGTGTCCCTAAGTACTTCAGTGGGTGCCTCCTAAGAGCAGGGATGTTCTGTTGTGTAATTACAGGGCAGTGATCAAATCAGGAAAGTAGCGTTGATCCAATGCTCGTGTCTAATCTGTGGGCCTTAATTCATATTTTGCCAATTGCCTCAGTATTGACGTTTATAACTATTTTATTTTTGGCCCAGGATTCGATCCAAAACCACACATCACATTCCGTTGTTCTGCCTCTCTGGCCTCTGTGTTGGTTCCCTAGGACTGTGTAAAAAATCACCACAAACTAGCGTAAAAGAAATGACTCCCTTACGGTTCTGGAGGCCAGAAGTCTGAAATCAAGGTATTGGCAGATCACCTGTCTGTCTGGAAATCTAGGGGAGGGTCCTTCTTGTCTCTTCTTGCTTCTGGTGGCTGTCGGTGACACTTGTCACGGAGTTTAGGGCCCACCAGGGTATTCCAAGATGATCTCGTCTCAAGACCCTTAGTTGAGTTGCATCTACAAAGACCCTTTTTCCAGGTGAGGACACATTCCCAGGATCTGGATGGATTTATCTTTTGGGGGCCACCGTTCAACCCACAAGAGCTTTCTTTAATCTGGACCGGTTCTCCACCCTTTCTTTGTTTTTGTTTTTTTTTGTGTGTGTGTGTGCCATTGACATTTTTGAGGAGCCCTGGCCAGTTACTCTGGAGAATAGCCCTCACTGTTTCCTCATGGCTGTAGACAGATGAAATGATCCCGTTTCACAGATGGAGAAGCAGCTGGGAGAGGCTAAGTGATTTGCCCAGGGACAAAAAAAACAGCTAGAAAGTACAGGTGGCCAGTCGTCTTTCTTTGCAAGGTTGTTCTCTCCAAATGAACCTAAGCAGTGAGCTATCTGCCATGAGATTTGGGTTTTGTCTGTTTTTCAAAAATCGAAACCACCTCTTAGGGTCTTTCCGAGGTCGAGATGTGGGGGGCAGGGCGTTGGCAAGGAGGAGCCTCTGAGGGTCACACAGCACGGTGAGCATGGGCCGGTAGTTGAAGAGTGTGACTGGGGAAGCAAGTGGACTCAGGTTCAAATTGCAGCTCCCCACCCACCAGCTGTGTGAGTGTGGGCAAGTTGCTTCACCCCTCTGAGCTGTTTGCTCATCTGCAACCCTATGAGGGTTGTCCTGGGATGAACACCTGTGTGGGGCTCAGCATGGTGCTGAGCAGTAGACTCTCAGAGCTTCAGGGGACCTTGCAGGTCACCTGGTCCAGTTCAGAGAGGGGAAGGGACTTACCTAGGATCACACAGCCAGCAAGGAGCAGAGCTTCCCAGTGTCCATTTCAGTGCCTCAGCTGTCCCCCACACCTGAAGGCGGAATCCTGGGGCTCAGGGGTTTGTCTGTCTAAATAGAGCTAGCACTTGAGATCACTTAGTAGGACCAGGGAAACTGACTAAAGGAAGGGAAGGAGGGAGGGAGCACAGGCACACAGTGCTCAAGGTTAAGCATAATTACTTGTGAACTTTACTCTGAGCTTCCTAGCAGCCAAAGTGAAAAGGGATACATGCCCAGTTAGGTAGCTTTCTTTGTCCTGGTTCATCTGGGAAATGGAGCTTTTCCAGTGACTTAGGAATAACTGATAGGTTTCACGTGTCTTGTTTTTGTAAGTTCTCCCAGCTGACGCCAAAGTAGGTGATGGGGTTCCCTGGATGAGGATGGTGGGGGAGAGGGTGCTCCTGGAAGAGGGGACAGCATGAGCAGAGAGAGGCCTGGAGGTGTGAAACAACTGGTGTGTTTGCGGGAAAGACAGGTGGCAGGCCCCTCCCCGTGCCCACGCTGACCTCGTGGGTCTGTCACTGTCATTTCAGTTGGGCCACGTGGTCCTCTCCCCAGTCTGGTTCCTCTACAACCTGCTCATGAAGCTGTTCCATCGCTCCACCCCGGCCATCACCCTTGAGAGCCCGGACATCAAGTACCCGCTGAGGCTCATCGACAAGGAGGTGAGTGCCAGTCACCATGGGGGCAGGGTATGGGCCCCCGGAGGCTCCTCTGTCTCCCTGCCTGCATCACAGTGTTTGTTGGCACCTGCTGTGTGCCCAGGGCATGCCCCCCCCCCCGAAGTAGGTCCTATTGTCTGCCCATCTCACAGATGGGAAAATTGAAGTGATGTCCCTTTCTTTTAAATGTTATTTTTTTTTTAATGTTTATTCATTTTTGAAAGACAGAGAGACAGAGCACAAGCAGGGGTGGGGCAGAGAGAGAGGGGGACACAGAATCCGAAGCAGGCTCCAGGCTCCGAGCTGTCAGCACAGAGCCGGATGTGGGGCTCAAACCCACGAACCATGAGATCATGACCAGAGCTGAAGTTGGACACTTAACTGACTGAGCCTCCCAGGTGCCCCGAAGTGATGTCCCTTTCTAAGGCTACTAGTAAGCTGCAAAGGGATTTGAACCTATGTCTCTGACTGCGGAGCCTGTTCTCTGAACCCCACTCTCTAGCCCACAGAAGGTCAGAGCAAGAGGGACCCCTCAGGACTTTTGGGTCTAAGCACCCATTGAACAGATGGGAAAACAGAGGGCAAAAGAGGAGTAGGGGGGTATCGGAGGTCACACTGTGTGGTAGGGGAAGGACCAGGACTCAGGCCTGCCCCTTGCCTTGGTCCCGCGGGCTTCCCGTCCCGGTGCGCCTTTCCTTAAAGCTAATGACTCCTCCTCGCCCCCACGGCCATCGACTCGGGGCCTGGTGCTTCTTGGACTCAGATAACTTTCGCCTCTGTGCAGATTCCCTGCGTGACCGCATGATCCCTCTGTGTGGCTCCCCCTGCCTCTCTGGAGGGCTTGCTCCCGCCCTCCCTGTTGGACGCTCTTCCGTTTCAAACTTCTGATCGTGATTTAAAACCGCCCTCTCCCTCCCTTGCCCTGCCTCCCTTTAGCGGCTGCTCTTCTGTCATCAGAGCCCCTCCCTCGTGCTATTTCTGGCCACCCGCAGCTGCCTCGGAAGGGGTGTGACAGGGAAAACTGAGTCATGGAGCAGAGAACGTCACCTGCAAGGCCCTGAACCCTGGGCCCCTGCTCCGCCCTGGGCTCCACATCAGTCCCAAGTCCCCGAGGCGCAGAACTGGGGCTTCCTGAGCGGCTTTCGTACCAGGAGTTCGTTGAAAAGTCAAAAACCAAAGAGGAAAAAAACCCGCCACTTCCCAGATGAGACCAGACTTACCCTTTCAATAGGTTTTGTAGACATTTTAACAATTTATTTTTATTTATTTATTTTTTTAACGTTTATTTATTTTTTTGAGACAGAGAGAGACAG